ATTCAGAACGCGAACGACCGACCACGCAGCAGCAGTGAGGATGAGCGTCACTAGCTCTCAAATCATGGCCAATTCGGCAGGATTTGCCATACTACCAAGTGTGACGAAGCCGAAATACTTGCTAAAGGCGACAACTGAATGATTTATGGGCAGAGTAGCTTATGTAATCCCACTCATGTACCCCTAGTCCCAGCATTTTGTTCTACGAAAACGGTAGTTATAGGGTTTTGGAGGGTGGGGAAATAGGATAGACAGAGAAAGGAATTTTTAGAAGTAAGTGTTAAGTGAAAAAAGTAGTCGAAGTTGTTTCCTGCGGCCGCTGGGACCAAGCTGTTCCGCACGTAATTTCAAGGTGTGCGGGGCGCTTCGCGCCGCGGGCTATACTAATCCAGCTCCAGAACAGTAAGTTGGACCCCAAGTAAGTTGTAGCAGACGACCTCCTAACCACCATTTCTACTTTTCGGGAATTTCAAGAGACCTGCAATTTGATAATCTGGTTTTTCTGCGCAATACGTTAAACGATAATATAGCTTAGGAAAATCTACAGATATAAATTAACAACACTTCCAAATACATAAAATAAAAATTCATACAACACTTACTAAAGTATATTTCACTGCGTATTCTAATCTCACATCCGTAAAACCCTATAAAAATGTCTTCCTAGGACAACATGTTGGAAGAAGGGATTAATGAGTGGGACTACATAAGCTACTTTTTTCGAGTCGTGTGCTGCTGAAGTCATTGATTTGTGACCTTTAAGAAGCGCAGTGACCTCCCCCAACTCCATATTCAGTGTGCGGGAAAAGTATTAAGCCACGCTAAAAGCATGTGAATGGCCACTGTACCTACATGAAAACCGTATAGTGCATAATCCGGTGCGCCAGCCACTAATCGCTCCGCAATGTATTTGGGAGCAGACAGGTAGATAGTGGCCTAGGAACTACATCCTACAAAACTGCAACACCTGAGCAACCTCATATCCTTATCTGACTCTGTGCCTGATGATTCGGATTCGCTTCAGAATGCGAAACGTCATGCTACAAAAGCACTTGGCTCAGCGATAGTGTGTGTCTCTTTGTGACTACTTCCTGCAATTCGCCTGTTCGCTTTCAGTAGGAAGTTGCTTCATGAAAGATAGACGTCCTGCTTTTGGCTTCACTTCAGTTAGATCCCTCAAAATTTGTGTAAAAAAGTGACCTTGTCTATTATTAAGAGCAATTGTTAATTGGTTACAGTGTCAACCAGTCATTTAACAGCTGCTAGCCTTCGCAAGGCACTTTACGATACAAGTTGTACAGCACATCGGGTTTTTAAATGCACGCTAACTTTGCTAACTGCATACTTTTTATTTACGAATATCCTTAAATTTACCTTTAAATGTGTGTATTATTTATCATTTTTCCCGGCTGTAAAACCCATTGCTGCTAACGCTGCCTTTTAACATGAACATTTGCTTACTGGTTGCGAGGTGGAGCTACATTTACGAGAGGCAAATTCTCTTGTATTGACAGTTTAAAATAATCAAAATTACATAGCTGCAAAGGTCGTAGGAAACATGCCTTTTTCGGCAAGAACAAAAGGCTGACTCTCACACCCAGAAAACTTCTAACTATTGTCTGTTGTCATAGTTACCTAGCAGGTACGCCAGATCCTACCCTCTCACATGTCGGTTGTTTTTCAACCGCCCATCACAATCCCTCTTTGTTCGTCACTAAGCGCGTTTCTCTACCGGAAAGAGGACATTTCTTTGTTATAACCAGCATTTATTATTTGCACTTCCGAGGCAGGGGAGTTAGTTGCCCTTCCTTCTAATCGCGTTAGCATAACTTGTGGCGCTATATTAATGGGTTGCTTAGATAAACCCAATCAGGTCGAAGTCCTGAACAGCAGTAAAATATAGATGACGACAAGGGCAGAGGAATATTATACACAGAAAAGTGAGTAGTGCTGGCTATTGGCAAGGTTAGAATGTGTGCTAATA